AATTGTGTATTTATGAACAACAATGCTCTTTCTGATGTGTCTAAGGTTACCCGTGAAGTCTTTGAGAATAAAAAAATTACAGGAGAGAAGATAATCCAATGACCACCATCAGGTATTGATCTGAAACCGATCGAAAATCTATTGTCAAATGTGAAGATGAAATTATATAAAGGTGGCAAACAATATAACAGCAAAGCTGACCTATGCGAAGCAATTAAAACTACCATGTTGGAAATTGAATCTGCTGAAGTAAAACAACAAAATCAATGGATAATAGATTACTAGCTGTTATTAAGAAGAAGGGTCACTATATTCAAATGTAAGGGATTCTAAGACTTATATGTGTTTGTTATTTGTTCTAATATAGCTGTTGATCAGTTGTTGATAATTTTATTAACTTTTTATTGAAATAAAATGTGATTATTTGGTTTTGCCTAATAACTTCAGACGGCAGTTTTTTAGAATACATCAAATAACTTCTATAAAACATATTGATACTACCTAAAATTTGAACTCAGTCTATATTTTGACATCTAAATTGATTGTTTAAAATTTGAAAATTTCTTTTAAACCAAATTTGAATTACTGGAGTCTATATGATTTGCTTAATAACTTCAGACAGGGTGTAGTTTTGGAGGCATTAAAGCAATTTACTGTCCCAGTTAACCACTGATTGGAGATCTTTTCAAGAGCAGTGGACAGTTTAACATTGTCGGCGCTGCTGGATCTACTATTGAGACAGAAGTAAATGGTAATGTCGTCTGCATAGATGCCTATTTGAGAACCGATGACATCAGGAGGTTTTTGTTGAAGATCAGAAACATTGTAGCACCCAGGATAGAGCCTTAGGGAACTCCTGCGTTCGTATAGAAAGAATTGAAAGAGAACCCGTTCAGGACGACCTTCATTTCACGATTTGATAGGAATGATTGGATTAAACCAAATAATCGCCCTGTAATATCGTAACCCTGAAGCTTACATAGAAGACCATCGTGCCAAACCCTGTCAATCGCTTTCGAGATATCCAAAGCCACAGCTCGAGCTTCGACGTTATTATCAAGAGCTTGATATACATATTCAGTTATGGTTTTAAGCACATCAGCGGTAGACCGGGCAAAATAGAATCCATATTGTTTGTCAGAGAGTAAATCGTGAGAGGTAAGTTGTTTAACCACTTCGGCATTGATTAAAGCCTCGAAGATTGCTGAAAGGGAGGTAGTTAGAAGGGCCAGAAGGTTCCCCAGAGTTCTTAAAAACAAGGACTTCGAACAAGCTGGAAAGTAGGAAGCAGCGAAACAATTGTTGCAGAGTTTGGAGAGAACTGAAGCTAGCTCAGAAACATATTTCTTTAGGACGATGGCTGGTATCCCGTAAAAGGCTCTACTTGACTTATGGGAGTCTAATTTAGAAATGATGACCGAGGCCAACGATTGAGTTCTGCATATATCTCTCAGGAGAGCCTCAGTTGAGTTCTGGTGGGAGTCGGGTATGGGTACACTGACAAAGAGACATCTGTTACAATCAGACATGCCCCTCTCTGATAGAAGAAGTGATTCCTGTGGTCTATAGCGGCTGAGCAAGCAGGTGAGAACCAAGGAGATGAACGCGGTTTAACTAGGGATTTTCTTGCTGGGATGAAAGCATCGGACTATTGTCCTCATCTTTTTTATCCTTATCCCAACCTTTTGGTGGTTGTGCTCTCCGGCCTACTTCATGTAATTTTCGATCCAGATAACGAATCTAATGCTGCTCAATTTATGTTCCGTCTCCATTCCGGACGTAGGCTCTCCACAACTCTCCGTCCCTTGTAACTCTTAATAAACTTTGTCTTTCTGTTATATCTTCTAAGCCATGTTCCAACATGCATTTAATGAAGGTCATTAATATGTTATGCGCTGTTGTCCTCTGTCCCTTTTACCCTCTATCTGTCCTGTGAGTATCAGATTTTCCAAGCCCTCTTTCCTCAATATGTATCCTAATAACCTCAACTGTCTCTTCCTGATGTTAAGTATTAGTTTCCTTTTTGTTTTCATTTTCTCCAAAACTTAGTCGTTACTCACATGTCCACGGTATCACCAACATCTTTCTGTAGAACCAAATTTCTGTTGCTTCAAATTTCCTCTTTATCTTTGAGGAAATCGTCCAGCACTGACTCTCCAATAGGAGGACAGATATCACGATTACTATGTTACTTAATTCACGAACCAAAATTTTAATTCACTAGTTTATTTTGAATTCAATCCTTGTGTAGGGTAGTGTATACGTAGATCCGGCGGAAACAAGTCAAGCAATAACTGAGCAGGAGGAAATGATGAAAAAACGCAATATCACAGAAATCGAAACGAAAGCTTATCTACAACAGGCGAGAGACGCAATAGACGAAACGTTGTGATAATAACAACAACGATGAGGATAATAGCACGAGTGTAAATAATAACTCTTCATCCCAGAAATCCAGAGAGTGATTACAATGGATCCCAAAATGGGAAGCAATAACAGTAACATACTTTTGAAAATATCTGATCATTTTTCCCGTGAAGTGACGAAATATATTAAAAGTTGCTTCTAAAAAAAATCCAAAAGAAATCATATTTAAGAATGTAGCATTTGCGAAATGAGGTCATGACTTTACGTGCAACGCCATTGAGTTTTTTTTTTTTTTTTTTCAAAGAAACTTTTATCGTTATTTCGCTCAACGAAATCTGCCGTCTTTCGGTTTATTTCAGTCTCTACTTCTTGATTGGCCGACATTCCAATAACACATTAGCCCAGTATAAAAACGTAAAAAAAAAATAATAAATGAAAAAGTAATAATTCTGGAAGGAAAAATATCGGGAAACGGCGTAAAATCCCGATTAAAAATATGGACAATTTATTGATGTTAGTGCCAGGGGAAACATTTTGTCATGGCTTGATGACCTAAACCACGTAATTTACTAATGATGCTAGCATTTTTTAAAACTAGAAAATTATCCGAAACGAAAACCTGGGAAATATTTTCTGAAAGACGCTTCTATAAATGCCCACACAACTATTCTTGCTAACGTCTTTACCGTTACAAGACTTTAATCTGAAATCGTAACAGGCATAAATAAGTAATTCAGTTCTATGTTCATTTCGGATGTTGATGAGGATACTCGTCAGATTTACACGTTTTCTAAGAAATAACACTTGATTTCATTCTAAAATTAATCGGATATATAAATACTATGTCGTGCTAGAAAATTTTTCTCGTCTGAATCTGTCTTGCAAAATTTATAAGTCAACTATTCGTCCGCGGATCAAATATTTCTGCCACATCAGGTCTGTTGCTTCTACTGTATATCTTAAGATTCTTGACAAAATCCAAAGAAAAATCTGCAACGTTATTAGTACTGAACTGGCATCTCTGCTTCAGTCAATTTCCCACCGCAGTAATGTATCTTCCCTGTGGTTTTTCTCTAAATATTTTCATAGTAATTATCGTAATTAGCTTTCCTCTTTGCTACCTCGACTTCATTAATTTAAGTGCAGTACTAGATTAGCAGTCAGGCCTCATCATTTCATTGCTGAAGTTGCTAGTTGTAACCGTAAGTTCTATGCTAATAGTTTGCCTCTCTCGCACTTCTTGTTTGCCGGACCTTCTTCCGGTTTCTTGCTTTCCTGTCAACTACGATCTTCAAAAATTTAAATACAATGCCAATCGACATCTTTGTCAAGGGCGCATAGCCCAGTGGATAAAGACGTTGGTTAGATCCAGTGGTTAGACCCAAAGAATTGTGAGATCAATACCAGGCCACAACAATCAGTCACTTATGTGCTATGCGTGTTACACATTTAGGCGATCATGTATCTTTCGTTACATGAGTGACGAGGCAGATTTTGTCCGCAGTAGGATGCCATTTTTTCTGCGTTAGACCAGTTGTCACTCAAGGCTATAGAACCAGGTCTGTTTTGCTATTTACTCATAGCCCGGGGGGGGGGGAGAAGAAGAGGATTCATATCTTTCCCAAGCACGTAAGTGAATGTAATGGATTCGACTAGAATTCGAACTCGGCTCTCTGATTCCTAAATCTGAGCTGCTATCCATTAATCCACCGTGCTTTGAACCAAAAACTTGGAGAGTTGAGTTAAAGGGAAATAACTGAGACATCCGGAAGAGGTATAGCACGTGGAACTAGAACCATCTACCCCCATGGACGAAATAAAGGGTTCGGTTCGAAATTCCCAATCATCTGAAGAAGGCCGGAGTGTACAACGACCGAAACGTTGTGAATATGGCAATGAAGATGAGGATAACAGTCCGAATAATGTAAATAATGTAAGACATCTTTCTCGTTGAAAACTTGTCTTTTGTTATCCCCCCCCCTCTCTCTTTATCCCCTTCAGCAAATCCTTGCATCCAAGTAAATTTTATCGAATTGCTCGGGGCGAAATGATTTTTAATATCAGAAGTTTGATTCTCTCTATATATTGTAACTTATAAATAGCCGGGACTGTATAACCAGAAGTACTGAATTAAGAAAAATCTGATTGATTTGAAACTGAATGACAGTATTGTGGCGTCTGCAGTCTTATCCTATTTGTTTGTATGAGTGCCGAGAGAGAAATAACTTTTCCAGCACCCAACTATGGGTTAAATAGCAGAGCAGACTGGGCTTTTAAACATTAGTTGGCAACCAGTCTAAAGATGGTGACTGTATAAAAAAAAACAGCCATCTCCTAGCAGCCTGGGCCACGTTTCAATCTGTATTGTTTGAAATTCTGAAAGTCATGGGAACTGTGCAATTTGACGCATGCGCAGATAGTGTTTGCTTTTTTTTATATGTACGACCATAACTCGCTTTATTTTACGAAGAAAATCTGTCCGATTTCCAGTTTTTCTGAGCAGGGGTTATTTATGCTTTCTGACCGAGAAAACTGCATAATGTTAAGTGGGTTAGGGTTAGGGAAAAGTAAGAGTGAAGAAAAAGATGTAAAAATAGAAATGTAGGAGGTCAGAAAGTTAGAGAAAAATTCACAGACAACCAGGTAATGGAGAGAGAGAGAGAGAGAGAGAGAGAGAGAGAGAGAGAGAGAGAGAGAGAGAGAGAGAGACTGTGTGAGAGAGAGTGGGTGGAATATAGACTGACGAAAGACATACAGAGACAGGCTTGTTGACTGGATATTCAGTCAGTTATGTGCCATGCGTGATACACGCTTAGGCGATCATATATCTTTGTATACATGACTGACGAGGCAGATTTTTCCCGCAGTAGATTGCCATTTCTTTCTGCCATCCAAGGCTATAGAACCCAGTCTGTCCTGCTATGGGTTAAATAGCTGGAGGGAGAAGAGGATTCATACCTTTCCTAAGAGTATTAGCACGTAAGTGAATGTAATGGATTCGACTTGAATTCGAACACGGCTCTCGGAGTCCATCCATTACAATACCATGCCCCCTTGAATATTAAGTAAAATATTGAGATATATTAACCCATTAAAATAGTGAAAGCAAAAAAAAAAAAAAAGCTTCAGCAGAAATTGTTTTTTTCTTATTAATTTGTTGCATATGAAAATAATTTATGTTTGAAACTCGGTTGTCTGATTAAAAATTTCTGGCCATTTCATCCTATACACAAGAATACAGCATCTGGTATACCCAAGCGGACTCTCATCTAGGTACTGCCCAAGACAGACGTTGCTTAACTTCGGTGATCGTACGGGAACCGGTGTTTCAACGTGATGCGGTCTGAGTATAACTAACAATATCAGGCGTTGCTTCTCGCTCCGAAGTTGCCGCACGGTGGGACCGACAACCCCACGTCGATAACATCAAGACGTCACTTACCTAAAGAATCGACACTGGTAAGATATATATTTTCAATGTAAAATGAATATAAACAGTGTAGATGTTAAGTAGCACTTAACATCGGAATTTTATATCAACAGAATACATGTATTTGCAATCTTACTTGAGTTCATTTCTCGGGGTCTGGTCGAAAAGATCTTAGCAGGTGGCATACCCCCCACCCCACCCCCCAAAGCAAAAAATAACAAACAAATAATAAAAAAAAAACAGAAGGATATTGAAGAATATAGTGTACTGGTGTGGAGACTTGTTGTCACATGACACCAGTGATAATCACCAAATAATATTGTGAAAAATTAACGAGTTTAAAATCATAATTTAACAACAGCTACGATTCCATATTTTAACAAAAAAGGCAATTAGATAAAATTTAATCTGTATCGGCTGACAATGTCCTAAAAATAATTATCACTTACTAAATTAATTTTGCATGAAGCCGATCGGCTTAATACGGATAAATGGATTTTTGGCCGAAGTTTAAAATTATTATTTTATTTTAAAAACTTGCCAAATTTTCTTGATTCGCTAGATTTTAATCTTAATTAAAAATAATAAGGGATGTTTCGCATTTAATACATTTTTACCTTTGCTTGGCTTTGTGAAAGTGAAAAATTACAATAAACAAATAAATAAAATTAAACTAATGGAAATTACCAGATAAATGAATTTTTCTCAGGGATGGTGAGCCAACTGTCATAAAACAATAGGCGGTAAACGATTTAGAGGACAGAAGATAGTGTAGTAAGTTCGATCGTAACCAAGTGCACCAATATATAAACCTTGAGCCAGACTTTAATGCTCGAAAAATGGTAGTTTCCAAAAAGTACCTGACACCTCTTGGCATGCATAATCTTTGCAAGATCAGACTAAAAATGGAATATTGCGGCCATATCTGGGCTGGAGCTGTTCAAACTTCACTTTCCAGCCATTTTAGAGTATAAAATTACGTTGTCTTGTAAGGGAAAGATTTATTTTCTATCCGTAGACTCCTTTTCCACAGAATCAACGTCACAAAACTTATGCTACTCCTAACGAACATTTGTGCCACCTGCTCTGTTCCTCCTACATCCACAGAGTCGAATCAGCCTCATTCCCTACATATTCCATTGGTAAGAAGGTTTTATTCACGTTGTTTAATGATACTTTTTAACAAATGAGTCAGTATCCCGTGTTTATTATGTCTAATAAAGCGCTATTTTGCCATATGATTTGAAATGCGTATATAAATTTATGATTTATTTATTTTTCAACAGAATGAGTAAATACTTAAAATGAAACCGGAAAACACGTGTTTTCAACCAAACCCTAATTTACAGCCATTGTCTGGAACATTTCTGAAAGCAGTCTCTTGCTTTGTCATACAATATTGACTTTCTCGACATTTTTACTTACACACACACACACACACACACACACACACACACACACACACACATATATATATTCGTGTGTGTGTAACGGAATCTCATATGCGCATGAAAATCTATATTCACACGAGAAGACATTTGGTGAAATATACCAAATTGACATTTTTCGTTCTTTAAAGCGAAAAAAAATATTGGATTTTCAACAAAGAGAACTTTATAAAGTATGAATAATTCAATAAATTTAATTTAAAGTCGGTTATATTTGCCTTAAGAGTAAAATAAATGTTACCCGGAATATAATGAAATTTTTTTACATATTATATTATATTATATTGTGTTATATGAAGACTTGCTTAGCGGTCCCCACGTTCTTTAGAAATTGAAATGCTTTACTGGCAAACCAATGCTTTATTAGGCGAACCAATGTTTTCTCATTGAAATTGGTACAAACGATCCCCAAAAGTACTAGGCTCGCATTTACACTTTTGATTAGGATACAAATGAAAGATTGTGCATATGTAAACAGTACTATTTTGATAATTTTAAACTTATTTGCCATCAGGGCCTGAACGTATAAATACCGTCCTTAGACAACGTTTTATCAGGCGAGTGGTGTCACTCGTGCACATCAGCGACAACAGTTTCATCTGTGTAGAACTTTTTGTCTATTTGGAAGGCTGAAACAATAATTCGAAGAAAGCAAGTAAGATCTATGCAGCTAGGTAATATGTCTCCTCCTAAATGGCAATGAATGTTAAAGCATTTCCTCACAGATGAATCTTGAGAAAACAGATATGTGGCACTGAAGAAGGATATTGAGAATTACCAAGGGCAGTGCATGTGAGGTGTGAGAAAATCATAACAAAAAGGTCACTTGTGTTTCGGATCAGTAAGGGACAGTTGAGGTTTCTGGGCCACATAATGAGCAAAGAAGGCGTAGAGAATTTGATACTCTCAGGATTATTGAAGGCAATTGCGTAAGTGGATGGGAGAATAGAGAGTAGGCGAGATAGTTATGAGACAAATATTTCTACGTGCTACAAAAGACAGGAAATTGAGGAGAGCCATGATCCCACCATCTGCTATCAGCAACATGAAATATAGGGTGTTCCAATAAATTGGACCGATTTTAATGTGAATTAATTTTAAGCATCTAATGATTTTTTTTCTTTTCCTTTCATGTTTAACAAATCTTTGGCAATGTCAACCATGGAAAGATTAACAATTAAACAACGTGTTAAAGTTATCGAAGCCTATTATAAAAATGGACGTTCAAATTTATAAATATACGGCCCAATGATTCCGGTAGTAAAAATGCACACCAAATAGTGACCTGGATGCAGTGGCTTTTCAACAATGCTCCTGGGATTTTCATCATCCCAAGTGCGACAATTCTGCTTATTAACGAATCCACCAAGATGAAAATGGACTTCATCACTAAAGAGGAATTTTTGCGAAAAATCTTCATTGGCTTTTCTTTGCTCATGCACCCAATTAACGAATGTACGGCGCTCCAAATATTCAGCTGGTTTCAGTTCTTGTGTCAACTGAATTTTGTAAGCGTGTAGTGACAAATCTTTTGTCAAAATTCAATGTAACGTTGTTGTGGAGAGATTCAGTTCCTGTACGCGATGACAAATAGAGGGGTCTGGATTTTCGGCCACATTCTCGTGCACTGCAGTAATGTTTTCAGCTGAATGGCGTAAACGAGCACGCAATGGTGTTTTTGCATCTGCCACCGACCCAGTTTGTTTGAACAATTTTTTCCAATTGCACTTTCGGTTGGTCGATTATGTTAGCCAAAAAAATCGCGAAGTGCTCGAAAAGCATTTCTCTCTGAACATCCATTTTCGTAATAGGCTTCGATAAATTTAACACGTTCTTTGATTGTTAATTTTTCCATGGTTGAAATTGCCAAAAACTTAAGTTGTTAAATCTGAAAGAAAAAGAAAAAAATCATTAGACGCTTAAAATTAATTCACATTTAAAATCGATCCAAGTTATTGGAACACCCTATATTTATTTTCGCATCTATAATTAAGTATTTGCTTATTTTGTCAGAGAATTCGTTTTGACAAAACTTTGGCTTATTGTGCAACATTGATTAGTTAGGTAAGTTTATTTTTAAATAAATTTTAGCCAATACAAAACTCAAGGGTAGAAGTTTACAAGCAAAATGATAATAAGTGAAGCGTGACATACGTAATGAAGAGAATGTGATGAAGTGAGTAAAGATTATGATAATGAGGAAGATAGACATCGAGTGACCTCTGACCCGCAGAAGTAATGGGTAAAGTGTTCAGGAAAGCAACCATGCCGTAGAATAATCTGCAAAGAGGCGGTTCTTGGGAAACGCTGTCCGTGTTGCACTTTCTCCTTACATTTGGAACATGGGGGAAATGAGAGTGATTCGACATTTGAAATAGCACAGCATTTCCTAGCTGTAATAGTTTGAACCAGAAGAACTAAAGGATGGAACTCAGCTGAACATTTGCCATGGAAATAGCGATAGATTAACCAGAAGCTTCTAACGTTGCACCTGCGAGTAAAGAAGTTGGAGCGAAGAAAATGTTTCCCCACCCTCACAAAGCCACCAAAACGATTTTGAAGTTTATCAAATCTGGGAACGAGGACTGAGCAGTTCCAGTCCAGATGTGGCAGCAATAGCACCATTTGAATCTAGTAAAGATGACACCTGATCAAATACTTTCTGAAGTGATAGAATGGGCTGAGCACTTTTCCAGCATTTTTAGCAATATGTTCCATCTATGGGATCCATTCGAGGATTGAAGAGAATCTGAGACTCAATAGGCACTCAAAGCATGGAGTCTTATTGAGAGTGGAATCTTGCATCGGGACGGATAAAATGATATTCTCTTTCTATTTGAGGTAGTAAAAATAGCAAGCCAGTTGTTTCCCCATTGAGCTGTCAAAGAGAGGTCAGAGGAGAGATCGGATACAAAACTCCAATTACTTTGGTTCTTGGATGAGCGTCCATTAAATAATGCAGTCATTTTCATATATGCTTAATAGTTCATAGGACGAAGGAGAAGTTAACGATGGACACCTGCAATAATCTCCTGAACTTCAGAAGACTGGCCACTTGCAACGACCTTCATTGACAGAAAGAACTTGATTGATTCCGTAATCGCTTGTATTTGACATATTTCTCATTTATGATTTTAAAAACCTAACAAAAAGTTGTTTGATATTTAAAAACAAAAACGTAATATAAGTTTTACTGATTCATTCATTTATAAAACTAATGTTTTTCTTTGGTTTACAAAAACCTGTAAAATGTAGCCTTCATAGTGAAATGTTTGGGGATTGTTGTTGTAAATCGAGTCGTCAGAATAGTTTTATTTTAAAAGTAATTTATATTTATAGGATCTAAAGACAAAAAACAAACAAAAAAACAAAAAACAAACAAAAAACAAAAAACAAACCAAAAAGAAAAAACAAACAAAAAAACAAAAAACAAACATAAAACAAAAAACAAACAA